AGCGCCTGTTTGGCAATATTTTGGATTTTGAAAAGCCTGTTGACACTTGCCATTTATCTGATTTTGGAAGTTTTTTTTAAACATTCGTTTCTAATTTAATTGGTTCCACATTGTTTGCTGATTTTTACTTTATTTAAACTTTGTGTCATTTATTTATTTTATTTGACATCAAGATGTATGCCGTGCCTCCAAGCTTTCTTATTCGTTTTGCTAATAAACGTTCTACGTTTCTTATTTATTTAGTTATATATTATACATGTTTACTTACATAAAGTTTAAATAGGTATACAAAACTAGAAATAAATTATTTGTTATTTTATGTTAGGCATAGCCTGCCCTATAGCATGGTGTATTTTTATTTGTTTTGTTAATAAAAGTTCTATGTTTTATATATATGCTAAAGTGAGTTTGACATTGTATTTTGTTGTTGCATTCAAGCACTTGACGCCTATCTGCCGCTAATTCTGCACGGCGCTTTTAAGCTATTTAAAAGCGAAGGAAAGCGAGGAAAAGAGGGAAAATTCAAACGAACAATTGCTTTACTCTGAATTGCCGCTATTTGAAAGTGAAAGTAAAATGTGCATGCCACTTTTACAAGCCATTTAAAAGCAAAGAAAAACGAGGAAAAGAGGGAAAATTCAAACGAACAATTGCTTTACTCTGAATTGCCGCTATTTGAAAGTGAAAGTAAAATGTGCATGCCACTTTTACAAGCCATTTAAAAGCAAAGAAAAACGAGGAAAAGAGGGAAAATTCAAACGAACAATTGCTTTACTCTGAATTGCCGCTATTTGAAAGTGAAAGTAAAATGTGCATGCCACTTTTACAAGCCATTTAAAAGCAAAGAAAAACGAGGAAAAGAGGGAATGCCTCCGCGGTGATACCGGTATTACCAGTGTTGTCACATGTCGATTAACTGGTGGGAAAATTTCCTCACTGTCACAACCCTACAGCACAGTTGGTACTTTATCTAAATAAAATACAGTGAACCAAACATCAGAGCGCCCGCTTCTGTGTCACCGCTGGAACGCGACTGAAGTACAAAGCCTATAATTTACATAATAAATAATAGTTTAGCATTCTGATACGTTACATCGCAAATATGGAAATATTATGGAATATTTGGATTTGTGCCGAAAGAGAGAGATAGGATACACAAGCACAAAGCTCCATTTCACAAACGGTTGAGTGCAAAAGCCTTTAAAGTATGCTCCTTTGTCAGTCTGTGAGAGACGCATTCAGAATCAGCACATGGTCACTGTCTAGTGGGCTTTGTTTTCAAGTGCGCAACTCACTGCATTCGCTGTTCTTCTGCTGGCGTTCGGTTATCAAACAGCGTTGCATTGCTGCGGGCGCCCCCTTCTGGATTGGGGGAATTGCCTGTATTCGTTGTAAGGCCTCATGGACCGAACCGAGATGTCCGTACCGTGACGGTTCGGTACGAATGCATGTATCGTTCCACCCCTGCTTGTTATACAGGACTAAGAAAACCGTGATGTTTTCTACTGTTTTGGGCCATCTGATGGAACTGCTAGTTTCACCAAGTGCTGCATTGTCTGTAAATCTTACATTTGTTGATGTAAATGTGTTTTTGTTTTGAACATTATTTAGCTGATTGACAGCTGTGGTTTCGTCTAAATTATGACTTGTGATTAGAAAAAAATAAATGGAAAACAATCAGTAATATTTTGAATTGTGTTCATTTGTTTTCCAGCAAAAGTGTGTTGTATAATGTAGACTTGAGCTGTACATGCTGTAAAAAGTGATGACCTGCAATTGTTACCTTAAAGAGCTATTTCTAACTGGCATTAACCTGTAAAATAAAATTGATTTTTAGATAAATTTTTAGGTTACCAATTTTTGTTTTCTGTGTATCTTCTGTGTAGCAGTTTAAGTGTTCTTTTGTACTCAAATCAAGACTTTGTGTTCTTTTGTACTCAAAAAAAAAGTGGTGTTTTGTGTCACTGCAGATTGCTGCAGCAGACAATCCTGAAGATCCTGAGAGAATGGTAATTATCACTGGACCACCAGAGGCTCAGTTCAAGGTAAAAGCCATCATTCAGTCATTTAGGCTCCTTATCTTCAGGGTACAAATACCAGTAGGCAGGACCCAGGGTGCTTTACGTTGATATCTATATTCATCCCTCATTTCTCCTTTACTCATCTGTGTATGTGTGTGGCTGTAGGCACAGGGGAGGATATATGGGAAGTTGAAAGAGGAGAATTTTTTCACTGCTAAGGAAGAAGTGAAGTTGGGGGCACATATAAAAGTGCCTTCGACCGCCGCCGGACGAGTCATCGGGAAGGGTGGCAAAACGGTATGTGTGCATTGTGTACATGTGATTGGATCGACAAAGACACATGTTAAAACCTTGTGTAAAAACACAAGTCAACAGACATTGTTATTTACACCTGGTAGTAACAAAACACTTCAGATCAGATTTTCAAGGAACTGTCACTGAATATGTTACTTTGTGTAGAAAAAGTGCAGAAAAAGTACAAATGAACACACAAAGTCAGAGAAATTGCTTTCAAATACTTCCAAATTTTAATTTCACCACAAACGGGTTAACACTAGAACTGCCACGGAGGAAATTTTACCCGTGTTTTTAAAACGTACATGAAAGATTTTTAATAAAACATTCAAGTCTCCCAGTCACTGACTTTTACTAAAATTGTGTGATTTACAATCCCTTGTTGTTAAAAACTCAAATAAAAAAGGGGGCATTAATACCTATAAGCGCCAGCGCGGGTCAAATTTACCCGCTATATAATGCCTGTATGTTCACGCTGTCATTTTCGTGCCACTTATGTTTTAACATCATACATTGCTAGGCAACGCCTTTCACTCACTGATTAGTTATCAGTTTCAAATAAAGACAAAATGAGTAAAAGAAGGCGATTTATGAATGCTGAAGAGGTATAAGAAGCACTAAATGCCATGAGCGATGGAGAGTCTGAGGGTGGGGAGATAAGTATAAGCGATCAATATATCATATTTAGATGTTTTATCCTAATGTTACTCATAATTGTTCAAAATTTGGATTAATTATAAAATTTTTGTTTAGCCATTTCTATAGTTTATTGTTCACTTCTGTGTTGCTATTTATTCAAGTCTGCCTGTTTCCTGAAGAAAAAAAATCAGATCTGATGTAGGCTAATGAATAAAACCTTTTTATTTATTTATTTATTTTTTTTTTGATTACCCGAAGTTTATTGGGGGGGTTCTTGTATAATTCAAATTATAAATTATTTAACTAAACAAATGAATAATTAATTAGGTGAAGCAGTGTGCTTGAATTTGTCATCGCATCCTATGCAATGTGCTGAATTA